GAGGGCGGAGGCCTCGTCTGCTCTCAGATCACCCGGAATCCCTCGTCTTTTCCCTGCTCCCGTGCGTGGGCCCAGAGTGGAGGGTGCAGAAGGAGGGTGAGAACACCTTTCTCAGGAGGCTGCCGAAGCCTGGCTCTGACTGCCCCACTGCCCCTCCCCCAGCCAGGGGTTCCCTGTCTGGTCTGGGAGCAGAGAAGCTCACTGAACCCCTGTGATCCCCAAACCGGCCTCCCTCTCATTTACTCTCTACGCTTGCTGGTTTGTTTTGGGGACATTGGGCACAGAACACCCTCGTGCAGCCCATGGGGAAGGGGATGAAAGGAGCCATCGCTGGGCGAGACGCTGGTGTTTCCCGTGTCCCGCCCCCACCTGGGCGGAGCTTCATCTTCTCCTGCCGGGTGGGAGGAACCCTTGCCCCCACCCCCTGGGGGGGCACACCAAGAAAAGTGCCGCCACGCCTGGCACCGAGTTCCCAATTTAAGGCCCCCTCTCACAGTAAAGGCGTGTCTGTCTGGTCCCCTCCCACCTCGCCCCTGGGTCCAGGCTCCAGGCTCCGGCTTTCCTAGTCATCCCTCGCGCCTGGAACACAGGAGTGAATTTCTCAGTGTCCCGGCTCTGTCTTGGCTCGAGAAGTCCTCCTCTCAGGCGACCCTTCCTTCCGTTCTTTCCAACGAGCGGAATCCGCTGTCATGGACCCCTGAGCCTTCTCTGCCCTCTGCCTCCTCAAGCACAGTGCTCATGTGACCAGCTCTGTTCCTTCCTAACCCAATTACAAAGGGCCATGCCTTCTGGGCGAATATCTTAAAACAGCCATACCCTGAGACCATCTGAGCTCTCGTGCTAAGACAGAAGACATAGGTTGAAGGGTTATTAATAGATCTCTTCATGCTGGAAGGCTTCTGAGGAGCTGGCAGGAGCAGAGGGCAAGGTCCTCGACTGCGTGGGCGAGGGGGACGGGGGACATGGCGTCCTTGTGGGGATACAGGCTCTGGGAGGCCAAGGGAGACGGCAAGGGACACCCAGCTCCCTGCCTCACCTCGGTCCCACCCCAGGGCATCCTCCTGAACTGGACCAAGGGCTTCAACGCATCAGACTGTGAGGGCCAGGATGTCGTGTGGCTGCTGCGGGAAGCCATTGGGCGCAGACAGGTGAGGAGTCCGCCTCTGGGGGCGCTTTGGGACTGTGGCAAGCCTTGAGGGGAGCAAAGGGTCCCTTGCTTCCTGAGATGGGGACCCTCTGAAATAGAGACCTCTGGGTCCAGTGCTGGTTGCCGTGACAACCATGTTGCCCAGCAACTAGCAGCATCCTTTTGTGTGCAGGCAGTGAAGCTGAATGTCGTTGCCATTGTCAATGACACGGTGGGGACCATGATGTCCTGTGGCTATGAAGACCCCCGTTGTGAGGTCGGCCTCATCGTCGGTGAGGAGGACGCTGCTCTTTTGTGTCCCCGCTGCCTGATGTTAATTCATTGCCTTCTGTTGCTTTCTCAGTTTGGACATTTCCTGGGCCTTGGGGATGTGGGATCATTCCCGTCCCCCCCGCCAGCAGGGCTCTGGACACTCCACTGGGCTGGGGTGCCTGGCCCACCTCGGCTGCCGACTCAGTGAAGCTCCCTGAGCCTCAGTTTGCCCTTCTGTTCACTGAATCAGCTTTGGTGTCATGTAGATTTGGATGGAAATACTGGCTCTGCCACATCCACTAGTGTGGCCTTGGGCAAGTCACCAGAGCCTCGGTTTCCTCATCTGTAAGCTAACGCCTGTCCTGAGGCAAAGCGTGGCACAGTGCCTGTCTCACGGTGGTGCTTTCTTGGTGCCTGAGCTGGTGGGGGTCGGGTGGGGGCTGGCACAGAATGAGCTGCGTGGGTCCTTCAGGCTGTCCCGCATGCGAAGCCTTTGCTAAGCACCTATCCTGTGGCCAGCTGGGGGCTGGATGAAGGGACAGAAAGACGCACAAAGAAGGGCAGAAACACCTGCCTTCTCTAAACTAACCATTTAGCAGGTGTCGCGCCCAGAGCAGCACGTGGCGGTCAGAGAGCTGAACCGGTCCCTCTGCGGCAAGGCAACAGGCTGGGCTTGGAAAGGAAGGGGCTCCAGGATCAGTGGGGTCTGCAGAGAAAACCTTGAAGGAAGGGGTCTGGCCAGGCGGGGGAGGAGGGCGTCTGCAGGCCCTTGGGCGTCAGTCTCAGAGCCCGGGGAGTGCGACAGCCTCTCGTGGGACCGGGAGCTTCTAGAATGGGTGTGCCCGGGTTGCCGCAGGAACAAACCCTGGAACGGAGGAGCTGCGCGTGGGGCCGACAAGGAGCCGCCTGCCCTGGGCTGACCCTGTGTTGGGGGGGGGGAAGGGGCTGCCTTCGCCCTCTGCCTGGAATGCCTCTCCTTTCTGTGCTGCTCAGCTTCACGGCCAAATCCCAGGGTCACCTCCTCTCCGTAGCTTTCCGGACCCTCTGGGCGGGAAGGTTCACTGTGCTCGGGGCCCCCACGGTACTCTTCTTTGCATTTTCAACTGGGCACCTACAGGCAGCACCTGGGCTGGCGGCTCTTTGCCCCGCCTCCGGCCGCTGCGGGGCTCGCAGGCCCAACTGCTGCCCGCGTCCTTGGCCGCAGCACCTGCTAGTATGGCTACAGACCTGAGGGCCAGTCCAGGGAACATAGGCTTCTCACCTGTAGATAGTGAGGGGCTGTCACACATCTCCCAAGGGAATGCCATGACTGGCAGCATTTTTAGGAGCCCAGGGGTAGTGCAGGAGGCGCACTGATGGTGGTGCTCATAGGGGAAGCAGTGGAGGCCCGGCGGGCTTGGTGCTGGCAGGGTCAGCGGAAGGACTGTCGGGAAGGAAGACCAGAACCTAGGGCAGGGCATGAGCGTGGGGAGGTGCAGAGGTAAAATATGAGCCCGGATTCCGCCGTCTCAGTGTGCCGAGGGCTCGGGGGGCTCTCGTCTGCATTAGCGAAGGGCTCCCACACCGTCTGGCCTTCCCACAGGGACCGGCACCAATGCCTGCTACATGGAGGAGCTCCGGAACGTGGCGAGCGTGACTGGGGACTCAGGCCACATGTGCATCAACATGGAGTGGGGCGCCTTTGGGGACGACGGCTCCCTGGGCATGCTCACCACCTCCTTCGATGAACGTGTGGATCAGGCGTCCATCAACCCCGGCAAGCAGAGGTGTGGGCCGGACCGGGCGGGGGTGGCTGGCGGTGGCTTCTGCTGGTGCTGGCAGTTGGTGGGGTTCCCCGCCCTGTGGGCACACACACTTTCTCGCAGGTTTGAGAAGATGATCAGCGGCATGTACCTGGGGGAGATCGTCCGCCACATCCTCTTGCATTTGACCAGCCTTGGAGTTCTCTTCCGGGGTCAGCAGACCCAGCGCCTTCAGACCAGGGACATTTTCAAGACCAAGTTTCTCTCTGAGATCGAAAGGTGCTGAGACCTGCATTTCCTCCTCCCACCCCCCAGAGGAGTCTTTCTCTTCTCTTTGGGTGGCATGCTGGTTGGAGGGAGCTTCGCCTGGGGGACAGCGGGGAGCTTACGCTGCACCCTGCCTCTCGGTGCCCCCTCCTGCCCCCAGTGACAGCCTGGCCCTGAGGCAGGTCCGAGCCATCCTGGAGGACCTGGGGCTGCCCCTGACCTCGGACGATGCCCTGATGGTCCTGGAGGTGTGCCAGGCCGTGTCCCGGAGGGCCGCCCAGCTCTGCGGGGCGGGAGTGGCTGCTGTGGTGGAGAAGATCCGTGAGAACCGGGGCCTGGACAAGCTGACTGTGTCCGTAGGGGTGGATGGGACCCTTTACAAGCTGCACCCCCAGTGAGTCCGGGCGCCATGGCGGGGGGTTGCGGGGGAAGGCGTGGCCTGGCGGGCCTGGCTTGCCTGGGCTCACCTCGGCCCCTCTCCCTACAGCTTCTCTAGCCTGGTGGCGGCCACTGTGCGGGAGCTGGCCCCTCGCTGTGCAGTCACCTTCCTGCAGTCGGAGGATGGGTCAGGCAAAGGGGCAGCCCTGGTCACTGCCGTGGCCTGCCGCCTGGCCCAGCCGGCCCGCGCCTGAGGGAGTCTCCGGAGCGAGCGGTGCTGGCCCAGGCCCCGGGCCCCGTCTGTCCCCCGGCCAGGCCCGGCCACCCAGGACCCCGAGGACAGCCCGTGTGTGACCCCACTGTGGCCACTGGCCTCGACCTCTGGCTTCCCAGAGAGAAGCAGCACTCGGGTTAGCAATATATATATATAATTTATTTACATTCACTTCCGCTAAAATCCCTACGCGCCCCGGCGGCCGGGCAAGGCTGTGTACATAAGGCCAAGTGTAAGTGCAGGAATGCACTTAAGACAGAGTCAGGGCACGAGCTTCACACACAGGCCCCGGGAGCGGGCTCACCACGGCTCGCACACTCGCCATCGGCCAGCCCGGGACTCCCGTTGCATATTCACATGCCCCGTCAGGCAGGGCTCCTCTCGGCTGGGGGCAGGGCGGGGGGCTGGGGAGGAGCCGTGGGGTGTCCCTGGGCGGGTGGGGGAAGGGCAGCGTGTGAGGCAGATGTGGACTGATACCGGGTGTGAGAGACGTGAGTGGCCTCCGGGTGTACAGCATGAGATGCGTGTGCGGGTGATGCGGGGGAGATGGCACACGAGACGTGCGTGGGCACAGGCCCGTGCGGAGGCGGTGTGCCTGAATCCAGGGGCCGCCCCGCACGCGGCCATGGCCCTCAGTCCCGCGGGCTTGGAGCCGGGCCCCTCAGACGTGCCCCCACCCGGCAGGCACAGAAATGTTTGTTTGCATAAGGCCCAGCTCAGGCAGGAGCTCCTGGGCCGCGTCCCGAGCCCAGTGTGTGCGCGCATGCCGTGTGTGTGCGCCCCCGGCCGGGGCCGGGGAGAGGTAGCCCCACACACATACACACACACACAGAGGGGCTGGGCCTGGCCCGGCGCCCGGCGCTGTCCACCCAGAGCCCCGGGGCAGGCGGCAGTGCCAGCCCGGCCTGGCAGGCCGTGGAGGGACAGGAGCGTGGGCAGGGTCTGAAGGGCCAGTGTGAAGGGCCAGAGTCCACCAGGAGGGGCTCGTCCTCGCAGCTCCCCCGGTGTAGGGGCGGGGCCCCGTCCGGCTTCTGCCTGTCCCTGGCGGGTCCCAAAGCTGGTGAGAGTGTAGGTGGTGGCGCCTGGCTGGCCTCAGCACTCAGCCTCTGACACTGTGAAGAGGCCGCCGTCCGGCTGGCCCAGTCCGGCCACCGCAGCAGCCAGCTGGCTGAGGTTGCCGCTGGGGAAGTGCCTTGCCTCCCACAGGTTGAGGATCATGGCTGTGGGGCTGGGTTTGGAGGCAAAGAAGCTGAGATGGCTGCGGAGGGGACGGGAGGAAGGGAGCCCATCAGTGGCCTGGCCTCGGCCCGGGCCCCCTGAAGGCAGGGCCTCCCCTCTGCCGAGCACACTGGGAGCCCCGGCTGCTGGCAGATGGGGTAGAGGCCCCACAGCGTCCTGTCCACCCCACCCGCCCTGCCCTGGAGGCTGGAATGCGGGCGGCCTTGGCAACCCTCCTTGCCCATCTCCCAGGCACCTGTCCAGGTGGAGCTTCTGGGCCAGAGTCCGCCAGTCGGCACCCCGGCTACAGGGTGGGTCCAGGCTGGTAATGATCTTCTGCCGAATGAGGAAGGGGATCTTGAAGGCACTGGGGCCCACTAGGGCTGGGACCCCCCCTTCACTCTCCAGAGCCAGCAGCTCAGTGAATCTTGTGTCCTGGGTGTGAGAAGGGGTGAGGAGCATTAGAACTTTCCCTGGCCCAGGCCCACCGCAACTTCCTGCTGGAGGCGCGCCCCAGCCAGCCCAGAGCATGGCACTGAATGAGCGCTCTGCTTCCTGGACACACCCTCGCTAGGGTCAGCGGTGCAGTGAGCCTCGTTTCCCCGCCCCTGCACACCCGCACGCCCGCCCTCCCCGCTCACCTTCCCAGCCTGTGCGGAACACACAGGTTCCTGGTGCTCCTCCCGCCCCCTGTGTCCTTGAGCTCAGTCCCTGCCGCCAGAGATGCGGCCTTTCCCTCACTGTCGTCTGACTCCTACTGATCCTTCGAGACCCGGTACAAAGTCCCTCCTCAGGGAGGCCTGGGGCCCAGGCTGCTCCACGTCTCCTTCCTGCTGCTCCCACATCCTCTTCAGCCCCTTCCCAAGTCCCGCTGTGCCTGCCTGCAGCTGTCTGTCTGCACCTGCACCCGCACGGCCCCCCCACCCCCGCACCAGACTGAGACTGGAAGGAAGAGGCCAAGTGGCTTCAGGTAGGCCTGGGGGGCCTGGCGCACCTTAGAGTGGTGCCGACGCCCCTCTGCCCACCTTGGTGATGTTGAAGTTGATGCTGAAGCTCTGCCCATCACCCTCCACCTGCCACACCCACACCTTGCAGGCCAGGTCGCTGGTGCTGGCGCTGACGCGCTCCAAGGTGAAGGTGCAGTGCAGGTACTGCTGCGTGCCGTTCCAGATGTGATAAAAGGGGATCTCCTGGGAGGGGTGGGGGAAGGGTGGTGTCAGGCGAGCCCCGCATGGCGTGCCTGGCCGCAGGTGCCTCGAGCACCCTCACCTGGTAGCTGACGAGGAGCTTGCTCTTCCACAGGGAGCTGGGCACGTCGTGGATAGAGAGGCGCAGGTTGTGGTAACTGTCCTTCAGGTGCAGGACTCGAGGCTCCTGGATCAGCTGTCCCCCCAGCTGCTTCTCCAGCTGCACCACCTCCTGCGGCGCCCCAGGTGGTCAGCCAGGCCTGGGGGCGGGGAGGCCCTCCCCCTCCCCAAGGGCCCGGGGCAGTACCTTGAGCGCATCTCGGGTGTCGTGCAGGCAGTAGACTCGGATGTTGTACTCCAGGGAGGTGCAGGCCGCGGGGGCAAACAGAAGCAGCTTCAGGCGCTTGGCGGCGGCCACGCTGAGGGCCTCTCCCACCAGGGCGAAGCGGCCCAGCTGCTCCGTGAAGACGTAGCAGGCGCCAGCCTCCAGCTGGCAGTAGTACAGGTGGGAGGGCGCCTCCTCCCCCAGGTGCAGCACATCCTGTGGGCAGGGCCCGGGGGTCAGGTGCAGCCAAGTGCAGCTCCAAGGGGCAGCCAGAGAGGGCGACGGGGCCTGGCGGGAAGCCGGGCTCCACGCGGAGGCCCCTGCTGGCTCCCCTGGGTGGCGGGCGGGGCTCACCTCCCAGCTGCCCTCGCAGGACTGCTTTTTGAGGCGCAGGCTCCAGCTCTCGGGGCTGGGCTCCCCGCAGTGGTCCATGGAGAGGATGACGGGCCGGGTGAGCAGGACTCCGGGGGGCCCGCAGCTAACGATGGGACTCAGCAGGGTCTGACAGCCGGCTAGGGGCAACCTCAAGTGGGGAAACGCGGGTGGGGAGGGAAAGGCATCAGCGGACCATCCTGGCCCCGGGCAGGGGCGGAGCTGGGTTGGGCTTAGGAACAGCTTTTCCCTGAGCCCCCGTCAGGCCAGACCAGGGATGAGCTGGCAGTGACTGGGCAGGGGGCTTCCTGGTGGCCGCAGCGGGGCAGGGCCCACCCAGCCCCAGGCCCAGGGCCCGCGCCCACACCTCACGTCCTCTGGCTTGTGCAGCGTGAGGTAGACCTCGTAGATCTTTCCGCGGGGGATGGCGTCCGGGGGGATGAGGAGGCTGACCCCTGTGGCAGAGGGAAGAGGGTGGGCTTGCCGGGGCGCGAGACCCCAAACGCCCCATCCGCCAGCCCCCACATGAGCCCCCTTTGAGGACCGATCGGTGCTGGCCTGGCCTGGGGACAGAGGTGCCACAGGGACTGTCGGATGACCCACATGTATGAAGCGGAGCCACAGTGACCTTGAGAGAGGCCAAGGGAGCTTGGGTGGGAAGAGTGCACCCAGGTAGTCTGGGCACAGAAAACACCGAACCAAAGGTGCCAGGCGTGCTGGGCCCGCCTCCCCCATGGCCCAGCGTAAACCTTCCCGTTACTCCTGCTGGATCAAGCCCTGCCCCCGCCTGGCATTTACATGTCTGGCCCCAGCTGCCCTCCAGCCGCCCTCCGGCCCAGCCTGTGCCGCACGCCCACTGTGCCAGGGCCTCTGCCCCGGCTGCCTCGCCCCCCGCCCCGCTCAGGCTCCCCCACCTCCACCGCTGTGGCCCCCTCTGGGGGTGGCGGCCCTCTGCCACCCCGCTGGACTTTGCCCCTCACTTGGCAGTGGCCCCTACAGGTGGGGCTGGGGCCTGGGACAACCCTGTCGGCTTGGGTGGCCCTCCCTGGTCGGGGAGCCATTGCACGTGTGCCCTCCTGTCCGGCTGGTTCACCTCTGCCCCGGCATCTTGCAGGGACAGCAGCGAAAGTGCCTGCTGGGTGTCCCGGGGGAGAGGCAGCGGCGGGATGCGGGGGCAGGGCTCGGGCAGTTGCTCTGGGGATGGCGAGGGGTGGCCCTGCCCCACCTTCCTGCCCTTTTAGGACAGGGAGCCCTCACGCTAGGAGAAAAACTCCGTGACTCTATCCCACGAAGTCCGAACGCACAGGCACGCTCTCCAGAGGGGGCGGCTGGAACGCCACCCGTTCCAGGAACTACGGCCCAGGAGAGGAGAGCCAGCGACGGAGCGTTTACAGCAAATGCTCCCTCCACCAGCCCATGCTGCCCGCTGGTGCCCGCCCCCGGCGCCGGTGACAGCCCCAGAGATCTGAGTGTGCACATACCCGCGTCCTCACTCAGCGCTCACACTGAGTGCCGCCCGGCGCCCGGGAGGGCGAGGGGAAACCAAGTGGGTGGCAGTAAAGAGTCCCGGGTGCTGGGGGAGACCACCCTGCAACAGTCGCTGAGCGCCCATGCCCCTTCCTGAGAGCTTGGCACAGGCCATCGCACCTCATCCCGGGGCCTGGACACGAGGCATAGGGAGTGGGGGCTGCTGGGCCCTCGCCTGGCGCGGGGGCGGGGGCGCGCAGAGGGCCTTGTGCCTGCACAGAGCTGCGTGGTGCGCGTGGCGTGCTGAGCGCCCACCGTGGCCACGGCAGGCTTGTCGCCTGGGCTTTGCAGGGGGTCTTGGGGAGCCCGGGAAAGGGCTCAATCAGGGGAGGGACACGATGGAGGGTGACTGCCAGGAGCCATGAACAGATGACAGGTAGGTAGGGGCTGGTCAGGGGAGGCAGTGGGGGGATGAGAGGCAGGGCCGCAGGAGCGTCGGCAGGAGGGGTGTGTGACCGAAGCTGGCGGGGGTGGGAGGGTGGGGGGGTGAGGAAGAGCCGGAGGTCAAGGTGATCCCCAGCCTCTGACTCCTACGGCGCTGTCCCTGAGGTGGGGGAAGCCAGGAAGCAGGAGGTTCCGGGGGAGGTGGGAGACAGTGCTGTTTTAGGCACAAGGAATGTGACGTTCTGTGAGACACCCAGATGGAGCTGCCCGGGAGGCAGCTGGGTGTGCGATTCTGGTGCCCGGGAGAGCCGGGCTGGGGATTCGGGGTGGGAGTGATCCGCACGGGGGCGCGGCAATTACAGCCACGGAGGGGGAGAGGGCACCAGGAGGGGCACTGCGGCCACCTGGGTTAGGGGACAGGCACCCAGAGCAGCTGCAGAGGGGCCAGAAAATCGGGCGACGTGGCTGCTCTGAGGGAGGAGAGAGTTTCAGGGTGGGAGTGGCCAGCCCCACCAGAGGCCACTAAAGATGCCCACGGAAAAGGTCCGCGGGCTCTCTACCAAGGGGTCTCAGGGCCCCTGTCACGGGGGTTTCTGTGAGGTGGTGGGTGGAGAAGCCCCCGTCTAGTCTGGGCGTTTGTCCTCTGCTATCTCTTCACCGGCCCCAGCTCGGGGTCCAGGGCCCTCCCGGGTTCGGCATACGTGGGCCGGCTGGCTGCGTGCAGGAATGGACCAAGCCCTGTGCCCGAGGCCGCGGAAGTGGGCAGCCCCGGCCACGGCCTCCGCGCCGACCCACTGCTGGCCACGCTGCACCGTCTCCCTCACTCCTCGCTGCCCCGCTCAGCGTCTGGGGCGAGGCTGAGTGGCACGGGAAGAACCTCGGGATGTTCCCCCCTCCTCCTCCTCCTCCGTGAGGGACCCGGGGGCTAGTCTGGCCTCTCGGGGCCCCCGGGGCACTCGGGGGCCCCCACCTGTGTGAGGGACCATCAGCCGGCCCCCGAGGAAGTTGAAGGTCCCATAGGCCATGTTGCTGGTGCTGCGCGGCAGGGAGCGGAAGTAGTTCTGGGCGGACAGGCGGGAGACGAAGTCCTCGGCCTCGGAGGTGGGCGAGCTGTGGTGCAGCGTGTGGCGGCCCCCGCCCAGCGGGCTGAGCAGGTGCCCGTTGCTGAGCTGGAACTTGGGGCTGGGCCCGTCCTGCCGGGGGCACAGGCTGCCCTGGTAGGTGGTGGTGGCGGTGCTGAGGTCTGGCTGGATGGTGAGCAGATGGGGACTGTCTGCAGGACAAAGGCAGGCTCAGGGGGGGCTCTGGGGGCGGCCCGGCGGGCGGCCAGGGCAGGGGGCTGGGGCAGGGGCCCCGCACCTGCTTTGCTGGGCTTGATGCTGACGGGCTGGAAGCCTGAGGTGAGGATGGACGAGTCGGCCACATCTGAGTCCAGCCCCTCCTTCTTGCGGCAATAAATGAGGATGAGGACGAGCAGCAGCAGCAGGAGGCACACGGCCACGGCGACGAGCCCCACGTAGAGGGCCACGTCCTCGGGCCCGGAAGCAGCTGCAGGCGAGAGCGCGGCCTTGGAGGCGGGTGCGGGCGGTGGGGAGGGAGAGGCCGCGGCCCCCGCCCCGGGAGGATGAGGCCCCGCTCCTGGCCGTCAGCCGCCAGGCAGCCGACGCTGGCACAGGGGCACGTGGCCCCCGCCTGCACTGGCCCCCGCCTCGCCGGGTCACTGAGCCATGCGCATCCCTCACAGGCCCTGTTCCGGCTGAGGTTGCGGCTCCCGGAGAATGGGGGGGTGGGGAAGGGACACTTCCCTGGGTGGCCTTGCAGGGGCCGCTAGACTGAGCCTGTTCTTCTGGGGTGCAGGGCAGCTGGGGGGTGCTCCCAGGATCCTCAAAGCGGGGAGCTGCTTCCTGGGGGATCCACCCATTGGGCTCCGGGCAGGTCCCTGCCCTGGCCCTTGTCATTGTCTTCCTCTGCAGGCCTGGGGCAGGCCAGGCGGTGATTGAGTGCCTGGAGGAGCTGTATTGATTTTAGAGGGGCTTTGCATAATGGAAGGAATGTCCATCAGAAAAGAATTGACACAGATAATTAGGTTTTTAATTGAAAGAATGGGGGAGGGTGTGTTCTAGAGAAAAAATCCAACCGAGATCTTTAATTGTTAGTTATGGCCTTGTAATTAACAGGCCTCACAAGCCTGCTGTCCCCACAGGACTTGTGTGTGCACTTGGGGGACAGGGAGGAGGCCAGGCTGCAGGAGGGGCGGGGAGGGGCTGGGACAGGTACCGCTGCTGCCTGTGCACAGCCAGCCTCAGATGCACGCAGGTCCCGGGGCCGGCGCGGGATGTACTGGGGCGGGCGAGGGCACGAGTGTGGGTGTTTACGGATGGGGGCCCCGAGGGTCCTGAGTTTGGAGTGGGGGGTGCAGCTGATGGCAGGGGATTGCGTGCCTCAGCCACCGCCTCCCTGGGGCAGGGCCGGGCCAAGCCCGCCAACCCGAGGACTCACTGTGCACGCAGAGGTCGCTGGTGCAGTTGCGGGTGTCCAGGTCAGCTCCCCGGCACTCCTCGCCGCCATTGCGGGGCGCTGGGTCAGAGCACTCGCGGCTCCGCCAGTGGGTGCAGTCAAGCCCGCAGGCCGACCACTTGCTCCAGGGGCTCCAGCTGCCGTCCACTGGATGGGGGACAGACACAGGCAGAGAGGGCGGCGCAGTCAGCCTGGGGAGCCAGCTCAGGCTCCGGGAGCCAGGCCAGGGCCGGGCCCCGTGGCCTGCACGCCCTCCAGTGTCCAGGCGGCCTGGGTGACGCATGCTCATGATGGGACGCGCAATGACACCTGCCTGTTTGGCTCTACCCGCGCGGGGGCCGTCCCGGCCCTGGGGCAGTGCGGGCGCCCCAGGCCGGGCCCTGCCCCTGCCCCACACTGACTGTTCCTGTCCTGACTGTACCTCAGACCCTGGGACTCAGGCCCTCCGCCGTGCCTGAGCCGGACATGGACCGGGCCCCGCCTCCGTCACACGGAACCCCGTCCTGGACTCAGACCGCGCCTGGCCTGCGTGTGGGCGGTGGGATGGAGCCCTGGGGGCAGCTGGTGGGCGCGATGGAGCCAGGGCACGGAGATGGCGAGGTGAAGAGCGATGCGGGAGGCGGCGGCCGCTGGTACCTGGGCACAGGGTGGCGCAGGCTGTTTTCTGGACATTCTGCCCCTCACAGAAGGCGCCCCCGTTGAGAGGCGCCGGGTTGGTGCAGCTCCGGCTCCGTTTCTGCCAGCCGCGCCCACAGCTGGCGCTGCAGACGGACCACTCGGTCCACGTCGACCACCCACCGTTCACTGGCCGGACAGAGAAGGACTGGGGTCAGGGAGCGGGGGCTTCCTCAGACACGCTGGCCCAGGGGCTGGGGCGGGGGCTGGGCGGGGAGCCCTGGAGGGGGGCCACGCTCTGCCAGCTGCCCCCGGGCCGGGCAGCACCCACTCCGCGGCCCCTTCCCTCCGCCAGCAGGCGCTGCGGGCATGGGGGCAGCCAGTCCTGACTTCGCTCCGGGCCTCCGGCTCAGACCCCAGCCTGTCGCGGCAGCGACTCCCAAGCCCCACACTCTGCCTGCTCCTAGGGGTGCCCAGGACACTACTTGCCACCTGAGGTCGCCTCTCCTAGTCTCCCTCTGACCCCTTGCCGCCTCCTGCACAGTGCCCGGCCTGCAAATAAGCCAAGGGATGCTGCGGCCACAGATGACCACCAGCCCGCGCCACACCTTCGCCCAGACACGCCCTGCGCCCCCGATTGCCACAGCAAGGTCCCCGCCCTTCCCCGTCAGGCCACAGAGGGGCCCGCCTGGCCCTGGCTCCCCGGGAGCCAGCTGCAGTGCCGCCTGCGGACGCCCTCCGCCCGTCCCCCGTCCGCCGGCGCCGGGGCCCACCATAGACGATGACAGCAGCGGAGGCGCTGCGGCGCCGGGCTACGATGTTCTTGGCCACGCAGGTGTAGTTGGCCGTGTCGGCCAGGCGGGCCTGCCGCACCACCAGGCTGTGCTCCCGCGTGATGTACACGTTGGGATCCAGGGACGGGTCCACCAGGTCCTCGTTCCGGAGCCACTCCACCTGGGGGAGGGAGCCACACAGCTGCACTGCCCGCCCCGCTGGCCCTGCCGGTGGCCGTGGCCCCGAGGGTCGGCCCGGGTGGCTGGGCAGGCGGCGCCTGAGCCCGGGAACCCTCTTACCTCTGCGGGGGGGATGCCCTCCGGGGGGCGACAGGGCAGCACGATTCCCTGCTCCAGCGACACCTCCTTGGCCAGCGGCTCCTGCTCGAAATTCTTGCGCAGATCTGCAAGGACAGGAGTGTCCCGCAGCCTGAGCGCCCCACGCCGGCCAGCCTGGCCGGCTCTGCCCCCCCCCGCCCCGGTCCCGCACGGGCCACAGTACAGAGCAGGAGGGCACAGCAAGTGCCCGGGGCCAAGGGGTGGCTGGGCAGGGCCCGTAGACACTCCCCTGCGGAGGCGGGACCCCCCCCCCCCCGCCCCTGCCACTGGGGCTGCCCCCTGCGGGCGTCCCTGGACTCACAGGCAATGCGGATGTAGGCCTTCTGGCTCTTGGTGGTGCCCGAGGAGCTCCAGGCCACGCACTGGCACCAGTACTCCTCCAGCCCGAACACCTTCTCCACCTGCTGCCGCGAGACGTTGATGCGGACCTCCATGGCGGGCAGGCCTGCGGGGAGGGGCGCAGCTGGGGCCGGCGAGCCGAGCGCCGGCCCCGGTCCCGGACAGCAGCCCTGGGTTCCCAGCCTGCAGGACGGTCTGGGGGACCCACCAGCAAGCGCAGTTTTTATCCCCTGGCGGCCAGGAGCAGGTTCTTAACACTTCCATTCTTTATATGTCGCTACCCAGGGGCCTGTCTCCCCGGAGCCACTTACAGAAATGTCCCTAACAGGGCTTCTGGCAGCAGGGGCTGGCCTCCCAGGACCCTGGGAAGAGCGGGTGGGGCCGACCAGCCAGCCCTGAGGGCTTTGTGGGTATAAAAGGGCAAGGAGGGAATGGCTCGGTCCCAGGGGGTTAGCAGGTGGCTCCTGACATGTGATAACATAATAGCAGCTATTAACAATATAATTACGCCATTGCCTGGTATGATAATAGACCTCCGGGCTTAGCAAGCAATCCCCACATGCTGGCTTGTTATCTCCGTGGACCCGCCCCTGGACCACACGCTCCTCAGCTTCTCCGCTCAGTGGGTGAGGAACCGGAGGCTGGTGGCAGCAGGGGCCTGCCACAGGCCCTCCGGCCACGGCCGCCCGGGCCCAAAGCAGGCTGAGGGTGCCCTGGAGTCCCCCGGGTGGGTTGTGGGTGCCTGGGCAGTGGGGGAAATGTCGGTAAGGGTGTGGGGCTGGCCCGCGGAGAAGGCTCTGCCGCGACGGGCGCTGGGACCCGCTCCGCACCAGCCGGGCTGGAGGGCCCCCTCCAGAACGGACTCAGGCCCCTGCCCTTGGCCACACTGGGAGCGGGGGGAGGGTGGGTGCCAGCAGGGCCCAGACCTTCTGAGGACCCAGGCGGGGGGGGCAGCAGCCCCCCTCCCACCTCCCAGCCAAAACCAGTGTCCTGGAGTGAGAAAAGGCTGTTTGTTTCCAATTTCTCCTCCTTCTGACCCCAATTTCCCTCGGGTCACTGGCTTATCAGAAAGAGGGAGAGAGGCCGGGCAGCAACGTGTTTCCATTGTTAACAGAGAAATTCAATTAGGGCTGCTCGGCAGGAGCTACGGCCCAGCTGAGCAGGGAGGCTGTCTTCTCTCTCAATTTCTCTGCCGTGTCTTCCCTGACCCCTGCCCGCGGCCCTGCTCAGCCCCGCCCCCCCCCCCCCCACCGGGTGCCCCAGACTCTCCTCTCACTTGCCCTGCCCCTGGCTGGTTCTCACAGGAGACTGAGGGGGCAGTGTGGCCTCTGGCTGAGGTCGTTACCTGGGGCTCTCTAGGGGCTCTCTAGGGGTGGGGTGCAGGCTGAGACCCGAGGGACCCTCCCGGGGTCTGTGAACAGGAGGGCCCTGGGTGCCAGCCACCTGTCATGCACTGAGTCTTGAGGCATCTGAGGAGAAGCTGGGCACACACCCCAGGGGTGCAGACCTCCAGAACATTTGGGGCTGGGTAGTTTTTCTCTCCAGGGGACAGGTCTGGGGATGGACCACTCCACCCCTGCCGGGGGCGGGGAGCTCACACACGGCCCAGCGAGCCAGCCTGGGAGAGCGGCGCTGAATTCAAGCTTGCCTGTTTCCTCCTCCCACCTCCTCGCCCCCTTCCTGCTGCCGGCAGTGGGAGCCACGTCTGTCTGCCACGCTCCGCCGCCAGGCTGCGCCCTTGAGCCCCCACACGCTCCAGGAGGGTGGTGGACCCAGGGGGAGATGCGGACCCTGCCATGGCGGGTCCAGGAGGTGAGGGGCTGTGCCCGCTTCCCTGCGGGTCACTGAGCAGCCTGAATCCTGGGAGCATTTCTGGGCACAGCTGTGTCTGCACCTGCCTGGTAACTGAGCAGATGCTAGTTGGGGGGGGGTCCCTGCAGGCCCAGGGGACGTGGGGTGTGAGCAGAGGCACGCGGGGAGGCTGAGTACTTCTGGGAGGGAGGGGACTGGCGGGGTGGGGGCCCTGAGGCCAAGCTGGGGCTCAGGTCTCCCTTCTTGCCAACGTGCATCTAATGACCAGTGAGTCTGTGCAACACAATAAATGACACCCCCAGACTGGACTCCAACGCTTGGCTTTGCAAATTTCAGGCTTTTCTGTCACCCGTAGGTTTGGGTTGAGGGCTCTCAGGCTCGGGTCCCTAACCCCTGGTCTTCTGGTTAGGGAACAGGGGCAACTGAGGGGCACGGCCGGGGTGGGGTGCTCTCTCCGGGGTCCCTCCCAGCGCCCCCCCAGCCCCACACGGGCACGGCTGTGGCTGCAGGTCTGGGCTGGCCTCTGATTGCCGTCACCCCGCCTGACCGCAGGCTGCCTCTGGGTCAGGGGCTGTGTCTGTGTGTCTGTGTGGCGCCACGGCAGTGACGTCTGTCTGTGGGTGAGGGAAGCCTTTCTGAGCTTCAAGGCGCTCAGTGGCTTTGGGTTGAGAAATCAACATGATCAATGAAAATTCAGAGGTTCTTGGCCACGAGAGAGGGAGGAGGGGTGCTCGGGGCAGGAGATGGTCCTGGTGGCCGGGGTGGACGTGTCTCTACGAGCTCTGCCCTCTGTCTGGCTGGAAGGGAGCAAGGCCAACAGAGCCTGTCAGGGGCCTTGGTGTGCGCGCTGGGCCTGGGCCGCGGCGGAGCCAGGGATCCCGACCACCTCGGGGTAGCAGGAGAGAGGGACGGGAGGCTGGGGGCCCCAGGGGGTTGGCCTGGGGCCTTCCAGAGGTGCCGGGACAGACCTTCCGGCTGCAGAAAGGCAGGTCCCTGGCTGTGGCTTCCCCCTCCTCACCTGTCATTTCCCTGGGGGACCTGCCACAGCAGTGGGAGGACTTACTATGCGAAAACGTTGCCCCGGGCCCTGGGAGTGGGGGGGAAGAAAGGCCTGTGTGTGTGATCTCACAGCCTCCCCACCGGCCTGCAGGGGGCCTCCTCATCCCCACTTACAGAGGAGGAAACCGAGGCTCAGGGAGGGGAGGGGACTCGCGCTGGCGGGGAGCAGAGTCTACCCTGGGACCATGTGAGTCCTCAAAGGTGCCCACGTGGGCAGGAAGGTTCTGGTACCCCTGCCGGGCTCTGTGAGCAGGGGCTGTGGCCCTGGGGGTGCGGATGGGGCCAGGGACTCTCAGGCCACAGAGCTACCGACCTCCTCCCCTCCCCTGCTCCGAGGGTGGAGGGCAGAGCTGGGTCACCTGCCCCGAGAGCCCTGGCGGCTGATGGCAGCACCCGACCCAGGCCTGGTGCAGAGCAGGTGCTCCATGCCCGCCTGGGGCCTGAAGGGAGCTGCCAGCAGCGGGCGCGGGGCCGGGCCACAGACCGCTGAGGAGGCGGCGGGGGTGGCTGGTGCCGACACCGGGAGAAGGCGGCCAGCCCTGCTGTCCCGGGAGCGGAGGATGGGGTGCGAGTTCTGTGGACCAGACCGCCCGGCGGGAGCCCTTTTGGGGGCCTGTGGGTGCCAGAGCTGCGGCCCCGTCCCCTCTCTCACTGGCAGGCTGGCTCTGAGGACCGAATCACGCTCGGCCTAAGCTCAGGGCTTGTGGCTCGCATCCAGGTTACGGTGAGGGGCTCCTGTTCTCCGGCAGGAACTGCCCGCCTCAGCTGCCTCTGCCCAGCGCCGACTCCCATGGCGCCAGCCTGGCCCCCCCACCCCCCGGGCTGGCCCCCTGCCGCCGCCGTCCCCACACCAGCCCTGCCGGCCCCGGGCCTGGGAATGCGGCTCCCAGGTGGTCTCAGATGAGGCCTGGGTGGCACTCTTCTCTGGGGCCTTCCCGGTCACTCAGCGCCTCCTGCCTGGGGTGGAGTCGTCTCCACGGCCCGCGGTCCCCTGCCAGCCTCGGCATCAGCTGACTGGGCACAGCCCACCGGTCCCTGGCCACACTGCCTCTTGGGCCTCATGAGGGCAGCCGCGCCCGCAGGGAGCGCGCGCTGTGTCTCAGGTGGGCTGAGGTGGCCAGGGAAGGGCTCAGGATGACCCCAAGGCTCCGCGAAGCACCGAGGCCAAGGGAGAGCAGAGGAGCTGGACCGGGGCTGGCCAGCGAGCAGGAGGGGCTGCGTCAGCTCCGCGGGCCTGCTCGCGGGCAGTGTGGCCCCCAGGGCCCACCTGCGGCCTGAGGCTGGGTGGGGGCGGGGCATGGGGTGTCCCACGGAAGGGGCGCCTGGAACCCCTCTCTCCACGGCTCAGCCGAGTCCCCCTGGGTCCTTCTCAGTGTCTTTGCATCTGCCACTCCCGTCAGGCCCCCACACTGGCTCCCCGGTGTCACCTGTAGCCCAGGCCGAGTTACACAGCAGCTGGAAATCCCGTGGGCCTGGGGCCTCACCCCCAGATGGCGCTGCTGTGCGCCCGCCGCCACCCAGCCCGCCGCCGCTCTGCCCCCGGGGCCTCTGCTGTGCGGCATTCCCTGCCGGGGGGCGCTCTGCCCCTCTTCTCGCCCAGACCAGGAGCTAACCCCTCTCTGTTCCTGCGTCACCTCCCCAGGCAGCCTCTCCTCTGGCTGCCACCGTCCCCAGCCCTCGCTCAGAGATCATGGAGCGGCCCACCGCTCTGCGGGGCTGCGTCCTGCTCAGGGAATGTGTAAAGGAGTGAATAAATGAGTGGGCGCAAAAACTAAATGGTTGCGGAGTGTGGGGCCCGTGGGGTCCATGGGCTCTTCCCACCGTCTGGGGCCCACTCTCTCCAAACCCCTCTTCTTTGCTGGCACAGCTGCCTGGGCCCCGCTGGGCTGACACAGCAGTGCGGACCCCCTCCTCCACCCACAGGCCCCGGACTTTCTCAGGCCTTCCCTCCTATCCCCCACCAAGCTGTGAGGGCTGCCGGGTACCCGCAGACCGGCCTTGGGGTGTGTACAGAAGCCCTCCATGGAGTCCTGCCTCTCCTGGGGATCTGGGTGGTGGAGACAGAGCCGGCAACACGCTGGCCCCGCTCACGGCTGCAGCGCGCCCGCAGGCCCCTTCCTGGGCCTCCCCTTCCGCGCCTGCCCGCCCGCCGCCGCGCCCGCCGGCCTCACCGCTGCTCCCGTCTGTGCTGCGCTCAATCACGTGGTCCACCTGGCGCACCCACTCCCCGTTGCACTTGAAGAAGATCTGCGTGGCGGGCATGGCCTTGCACACCAGCAGCACTGGCTTGTTCTTGACGATGTACACGTCCTCCGGCTCCACCAGGAAGTGGGGCAGCAGGTCCGGGTTGGCGCCGGGCACCGGGTTGGCCACCGTGGCGCTCTGCTGGGCACCTGCAGCGGGGCAAAGGCCGGTGGTGAGCCAGGGTCCCGCTGGGCTTTGGGGTCCTCCGGGGCTCCCTGCCCGTCCGAAGGCGGGGCCCGGCCCCGGGGGGGCCAGCTGCCAGGGCTGAGGCAGGAGTGAGGCTGGGCTGCTCAATGTCCTGCCCCCGCCTGTGGTCCCCCTCTGTAAAGGGGGGAGGCAGCAGCCCCCACTCCTGGGGACTGGGAGCCATGCAGCACTCAGGCCAGTCATGGCCCTGGTAGGAGTTCGGGGAGCGGGCATGGCGCCCGCCACCTGGGGAAAGCCGGAGGGGAGAGGGCCGCGCGGGGGCCAGCCCCTTCCTCTGCTGCTGCGGCTGCCTCTGCCTGCCCCTGGGTGGATCCCCACTCCCCGCCCCTCACACAGTAGGCGCTCAGAAAACACCCAGGGAATGAAGGAGCTCACAGGAGGGGCCCCGGGGGGGCCGGGCAGCCTGGGCCACCGGCTGGGCGGGCAGAGGGTGGGGGCGGGGCGGTGTGCCTGGGAGCCCGAGGGGCTTGGGCCACGTCCCGCCCTTCAAGGAGGCCTGAATATGGGCTTCCTTCTAATTTTAACTGAAAACCGCAAGCATCCCACAAGTCATTTGTTGCTAATTACACAGGTAATTGGCTCTGAGGCTTTGGTGGAGGTAAACCCCGTGCAGTTGCACAGGCCGCTGGACCCGCAGGGCCCCCGAGGGTAGGGCTGTGTGGGGAGGGAGAGGGGGGCGGGGACGCCCTCAGCCCCCCAGCCAGCTGCCCAGCAAACAGGCCCCAATGGCCTGGCCTCCCTCAGGGCACAGGGATGTCCTCACCAGCACACATTCTGTCCACAGAGGCCTCCACGCCAAGAGACCCGTCGGCTCCCTGCTAGCGGTGACCTTGGCCGAGGAGCCGTGTTGCTGCCTGTGCCGGGGCGGAGCGGGGGTGCCGTCTGCCCACCGGGGTCTGGAGGCACCTCACCAGCTTGGCCCCTGGCTCCACACCCTCCCCACAGGCAGCCCAACTCACAGGGGGCTTGGACCCACCCCCGGGGGCATCCACGCGGCCCCTCCCTCCCGCCTGCACAGGGACCCTGTCTTTCCAAGGTGGGGGTTGGCCCCCTCCACCCCAAGACGGTGGTTTTCGGCGGGGACCTGTGCAGGGCCGTGCAGGTGTCCTGGGAATGCCTGCTGCGAGGCTGGGAAGCCTGGCGTGACTTCAGGAAAGCCCTCGACCCTACAGCCACTTGGCTCCGGGGAGGAACGCGGAGAGAGGGCCCTATCCTTGGGGCTGCTGTGGGGGCGAAGTGAGACTGGCGCTCAGCGCGAGCTCCGGGAACGCCGCCCAGGGCCTGCGCACGGTGACGGCAAGGGTCCCTCCCTCGGCTCGGGGACCCTCCCGGCAACCATCTCCAGGGGTGGGGGCTGTTGAGGAAACCGAGGCACAGAGCTGGCGGGTGCCTTGCCCATAAGAGCACAAGATGGGGGTGGTGGGGATTCAGGCGGGTGGGGGGAGCCGAGTACGTATCTTGCCGGAGGAGGCTCTGAGGCCCAAGGGGCGTCACCCCAGACGGCCCGCTCTGGCCCTGGGCTCACATAGTGACTTGGGCAGCCTCGTGCCCCGTTCATTATTCCATTTGCTCTTTACTGTCACTCAGGCGACTCGCAAGCCCCTGCCCCAGGCAGCGGTCTCAGGCTGCAAATTCCCGAGAATGAATTGGATGGTGAGCTCCCGACGTGGGCCTGCAGCGGGGAGCTGGCAGTGGCCTCTCTAGACCTTTATCGGGGCAGCCACAGCCTCTCCGCAGACTCCAGGGCCACGCCGGACCCCTGAGCAGGGCCCGCAGGGGGCTCCGGGGCAGGGGTCACAGGCTCCAGAAGGGTGGGGGAACCCACTGCGGCAGGCGCTGGCCTGTGTGGGACCGCCCCTTGCAGAGACTCAGCGTGATGGCCTGCTGGCCGGGGCCGGTGGGCAGGGTCCTGGCCGGGGGCGTGGGCGGGGAGGGGGCGCGTGGCCCTCCAGCCTCCCTGTCGATCACAGCGCCGAGCACCGCTCCCGGCAGCTGCCCACTGAACCCAGCGCCATCCCTCATGTCTGCATTTAACTGCTAATGAAAAATAAATGTACTGTGACCAATAAGTGACATAGCTCACTTCTCTGGGGCCTCTGTCATGCCACACTGGCATGGCCTGCCCTCCCCCCCGGGGGGCATTTACGGGGGAGAACCTGAGGGGCGCCCTCTGGGTTACTGCTATGCCCTCCAGCAAGGACACTCCAAGGCCACGGGTGCGGGTCAACCCCTCGGTGTCCTCCTGGGGCTGCAGAAGCTGCCTGGGCAGCCAGAACCGCCTTCCCCGCCCTGGCCCTGAGCCCACTATGTGGCCTCCTCCCGGGTGGTCAGCCTCTGTAACCTGCCTGACACTTCCCTGTCCCCGTGAGGCCTCTTGCCTGGATGAAGGCCCGAGCCTCTCCCCTCCACGTTGCAGGCTACCAGAGTGAGTGCTTTTTCCCTTTGACAGGAATCTTGTACTTGCCTATCAAAGACAGCACAACGCAGTGCACTCTCACTGCCAAACGACCTGTGATCCTTTCAACACGGCAAGGTGGCTAGTTCGCCGCAGTTCCCACCCCTCCCTATTGCCCCGCTCTGGTCTTGCTTCTTCTATTTCTGTTATCTGCCTGGCTTCCATGGGCGACTCGGGATGGGGCCAAGTGCCTTGGGCTGGTGTCACTGAACGAACCCCCTGCTCGGGCCCAGCCAGCTCTCCAGCCTTCCCGGGCAGACGCCCACAGGCCCCTCCTGGGCACTGTCTCTGCCCACGGGTCTCTCTCTGTCTGAGACCCCTTCCCTCTGCCCCTCTGCCAGCACTTCCCTACCTTCTCCTCAGGGCCCAACTCCACTGTCCTCACCCTCCCAGGACACCCCACGTGCCGCTCGGCCCTCTCTGCCTTCGGGGCCTGTCCTCACTGTGCTGGGGAGGATGTGAATGGCTGAGGTCCCCGTCCCCACCACCAGCCTGTCCGTCCCTGGTCCCCGCTGCCCAATTCAAGGCTGCCTGGTCTGATGTTAGTGACTGGGGACTTGGAGTGGGGCGCCTGTCCCCGCTCCATTCGGGGCTGCTGAGGTGACAAACACGGAAGAAATGCTCTCCAGGGCAGACACTCCGGAGCTGCAAGGGGACCGGCGGGAGCAGAGCCCACTAGCTATGTGGCCCTGTCCCCTCCTACTCCCCACCCCGAGTTCTCCCGGGGCTTCGCCCCCCCGCCCCCCGCCAAGCTTTCCCACCATCACAGCACACGGCCCAGCTGTCCGCCCACCGGGATTCGGGAGAAGGTCTCCTTTGCTCACTGGCCGTCCCGATGGGCTCCTGGGCACCGGGAACTGCAGACAGGGCTGTGCCGACGGCTCAGGCCCCGAAGTGCGAACCCCATTTCCAGTGAGCCCGGGGCTGGCCCGCTGGCCCCCACCTGTCTCAGGGCGGCACTGGCACCTCTGCTTTGGCTGCTCCATTCAGGATGGTAGGAATGGTCCTAGCCATGTTGCCACTGGCCCGGGGAAGACCACGTCTGCGCATGTGTCCATGTGCGTAGGGAGGCTGGGGGCCGGGGAGGGAAAGTGACCAGCGGAGTGGACCATGGTGGGTCTACCTCGTGTGGTTCATCTGGGAACTTCCACCTAGCCTTCCAGTTTCAGCAAATGTGCCACCTCCTCCAGGAGGCCTTCCCGGATCTATACCCTTCGTTACCTGCCTGAGTGCCCACCTGCCCCCTGAATCTCCCTCTAGGGTACACGCCACATTCAGGACTAGGGTGGGTTTGTTTGCACATTGCCTCTGCTCAGGGTACGAACCTGGGTCTGGCCTGGATACTAATGGAGTGTTGGTTGAGTGACTGAACGACCACCCCTTCTTCTCCCTTGAATTTCAGATCTGCCCATGAGTGGCCCTTCTACTCTTCCCCTGCAGGGAGGCCCTGAGGGGGTGCAGGGCGGCCCATAGGCAGAGCCGGGGGCGGGGAGCGGGCAGCTCTGTGTCCTGCCACACCCACCGCGCCACTGCTCTGAGGCTGAGTCCCCTTTTCTCACCTGCAGTCTAGGATGGTAAGACCTCCCCCTGTAACTCTGAGGCCCAGGGTGGGTGTGAAAGTGCTTTCAAATGTTTTATTTTTAAAGACACCACGAAAATATGAGATGTGACTAATCAAGCGATTAGTGAACTCGTGTTTGCGGAGGAGCGGGACTCAGTGCCTGGGAGCCAGCGGGGCAGGCAGGCTGGGGCCGGGCCAGCCACCACTCCCCGCGGCCCCTGCCACGTGCGTCCCCCCAGCAGCCCCCCTCCAGGGGCACAGCAAGGGGGTGGGGCAGCAAGCCGCCTCCTCCCACGTTATTCTACTTCCCTGAGAATGTTCTGCATTTGAAATGGGCTGGAGGAGGGGCCGGGGCCCAGCAGCCTCGTCCTCCAGCCTCCAGCCGGACCATTTCTGGCCGCTGATGCGGCGCTGATGCGGCGCTGCGCCCCTCGATCCGAGGCCCGGGCTCCCAGCTGGCCTCGCTGCGGACGTGCATTTGGTAGGTGCGCTTGGGTGCTCCACAGGCCCTGGCCAGTGTGTGGGCCACGCACTGTGCCCTGCCCCTGGGTTGGAGGCCCTGCCGGCAGGGGCCTGCGCTGCCGCCTGACGTGCCTGTCGGGCCTTCCACGTGCCCTTCGGGGAGGCCTCGCGACTGTTTGCAATGCCTCAAGGACTTGTGTCCGTTCTGGTCCCAGCTCCGCCCCCACCCCCTTCAGCTAAGATCACCAGATTTTCTGCAGAAAACTCCCACCCCCACGCCATTCAGGCCACCCGGTCACTCAGCGCAGGTGGGCTGACTCCATCTCCCGCCCCAGAGGTGAGCATGCGACACTGCCTGGTTCCCAGAGCAGGTCGCTCCGTGGAATCCCGCGGACGGGATTCTGGGACTTGGGCTGGGCTGATGGGAGAGAGGGTCCCCTTCTGCCGGGCTAGTGCGGCAGGCC